AGGGGGTTAGCCTGGGACGAGCTGCTGCTGCCCGTTGCTCCCCTGGTTGCAAGTCTCATGGGCTCCCTTAGAGGTTAGGAGTATGTTCTTGGGGGGGGAAGGAGAAGGGGAAGGGAATGGCAGAGGCATATACCCGGGAGGGAGAGCTTGCATTGGGTCTTTATTTTTCTCTTACAGGTGGAAATCTGAGGGAGATCTCACAGGAGTGTCCCAATAGAATATTCATCAGCTTCCCAGGTGTGCTCTTTCAGGATTGTGGTCTCCACTGATTGGTTGGTGCCAAGGGCTGTCATTAGTCAATGTAGCTGGTCCCGAGGCAGCCACAGCATCACTTGTCTGGTTTTGCTGCTTTTCTGGGCCTGGAGTTGAGATACACCTGAGGCCTAGATGTTATCTTTAGGGTAGAGAGGAGAAGGTCAGGGGGTCCAAACTTCATGACCAGCCATATGCTAGGGGAGGATAGGTTACCCTGGGGACAAGGTTCTTACTTTCCCAGTTTTGCCCCTTGCTAGATACCCAGGGCTTTCTGCCCTGGAGGGTTTCTGTACCTGGCCTATCGCCCTGGCTCTGCTCATGTCTGTCTAACAGGAACTGTGAAAATCAAAGTTGTCCAACTCAAAGAGATATATAGACAGCAATAGCAACAACAAAAAGTGGAAGATGTGCTGCAGCTGATACGCAGGGTGATACTAGGGGGTCGGGGCCGAGGCCAGCAGAGCCCTTAAGGCAAGCCTCTGGGGGAATGGCAGTCACCTAAATGATGATCAGCCGTGCTAAAGGAGGACCTTGGACGGAGATTGCTCAAGTAACCCACCTGGCAGGACGACACTGAACATGGATCTTCTGTCGCTCTAAGACTACCGGGGCTGGGGATTGACCCTGTAACGGAGGTACATGCCCTTGGCCGGAATCAAACCCAGGCCCCTTCCGTCTGCGGGCTGATGCTCTATGCACTGAGCCAAGTTGGCTAGGGCAATAAAAACATATTTTAAAAAGAATAAGAATAGTTTATTAAAACACACACAATACGTTGAAAGATCTAGGATTAAGTTGGTAGGTGGAGTTCGACCATGAAGATTTCTTGAAGGGAGGAAAAGTGACTTGGAACAACAGAGAAGTCAAGAATTGTGTATATACGACAACTCCAATGCAGAATTTTAGACTGTTTCATGTTACACACAGAATGGGCATCAAGAAGCAAGTTTGGGGTTAAAGGGTAAGAGCTGGGATATAGCAAGAGACCAATAAGGCAAGGATAACTGGGTAGAAAGTCATGACCAGTCCGAAGTGTGCATGGGTCCCAAATACCTGGTTATTCTGGATCAGTAACAGCTAGAGAGCTGTTTGGGTTTTTTCTCGTTTTCTCAGCTTAGCCTCTGGAAATTTTGATTTGATTGATCTCTGATAGGACCCAGGAATCTATATTAAAACAAAAACATGATTTCAGCCATGCAGCCATTCCTAGATTAGGAATCACTGAGCTGGATGATGCAGAACTGTCTTGGAGGATCATTGGGGGACTGTAAAGCAGTGACAGGTTGTAGTTAACAGGTGTGGAAAATTTCAGTGAGTATATTTTACAGAATGGTGCAGTGGATGGGGAGCAGCTGGCAATAAGTCACCAGAAAGATGCTTTAATAGTTCACAGGTAGGGAAACAAGCAAGAGGACAAGCAAGAAAACTAAACTCATACGTTGTTATGAAGGAAACTACTGGATTGAACAAAGGACTGGTAGGTCTTCATGTTTGGGGTATTCTGAAATTTCTAATCGACTTTTCAACATGAGTTGGCCTTGACACAAAATTACTGAAAAATTTCAGCTTTGTCTAATAGTCCTCGCTTAAAACAAAACAACCCCAAAATCCCTGTTGAGCAGCTTTTGGTTCAGTGTGTACATTCCCCAGCACACATGATCATATCATTAACTCACCCAGTTTTTTTAACAAAAGCTGCTGGGGTGGGGACATGTGTCATTTCCTGCCCTTCCCAGAGCTGGTTACTGATAGAGTTTATTACAGTTTGCTCTGAGCCAGGAGAAAGTCTTTAGCTCCAGAAACATCCTCCACCAGATGCTTTCCTTGGTTTCCTTGCAGAGGAGCGTGCAGGTGAAGGAGTGGAGGCAGAAAAACTTAATGTTTTGCATGAAGGTCAGTGCAAATATGTGCTCAGTTATAGGATAATCCAACATAAAATCTGCTGGCCGGGGAGGGACGCGTGAACATCGATTTAGTCAGAAATTACTCACACAGGCCCTGGCCAGGTAGCTCAGTTGTTTAGAGCATCGTCCCGATACTCCAAGGTTGCAGGTTTGATCCCCAGTCAGGGCACATACAAGAATCAACCAATGAATGCATGAGTAAGTGGAACAGCAAATCGATGTTTCTCTCTCAAAATCAATGAATTAAAAAAAAATTATAATAAATAACTTACACAGTCCCAGCCAAAATTGTGGCTACACTTCCTTTCATATCCTTAGACTCCTCAAGAGAATATGTGGGTCTAATTATAACTAATATACACTCACCACCACCAACAACAAAATAAATAAACATTTATTTATTTTCGAGTTTGCTGTACATCTGCCTCCAGGCCAGTGTTGTGTTGCCTGCCTGTCTGCTTGCATTCAACAAACCTTTAGTGAGTGCCTGCTGCCTGCCGGGCGTTGTGCTGGGTGTGGGGAACTTAACAGTGAATTAAAAACAAGCACCCAGTTCTTGGAGTCTCAGTTCTGTTCTTTGGGCACCTCTAATTAAATGTGCAAAATCTCATGTGTGGCATTTGGACCAAATGGTGGAAGAGGGAGAAGGGGTTAGGCACAAGTAGGAAATTCAGCTGCTTGGTAAAGAATAATTCAGTGTTAACTTGGAACTCGGCGTGAATGAGTGTACATCATGTAAATGTCCAGTTTCATACTACCGCAGGTGACTCTCTAAAACATTCCTGAGGACATTGGCATTAAGATCACGAGCATGTTCTAATCTTTGATGCTCTTTTTTTTTTTTTAAATATATCTTTATTGATTTCAGGGAGAGGAAAAGAGAGGGAGAGGAAGATAGAAACATCAATGATGAGAGAGAGTCATTGATCGGCTGCCTCCTGCACGCCCCCCACTGGGGATTGAGCTCACAACCCGGGCATGTGCCCTGACCGGGAATCGAACCCCGATCTCCTGGATCCTAGGTCGATGCTCAACCGCTGAGCCTCGCCCGGCCAGGCAAGGCTCTTTTTGCATCTTTCTTTGAAGCCTCTCCATCACCAGTCCAGCAGTGATGGTAATAAAATACAGGTTCTGGCCCTGGCCGGTTTGGCTCAATCGTTAGAGCGTCAGGCCGGGGACTGAAGGGTCCTGGGTTCGATTTCGGCCAAGGGAGCGCTTGATTGCAGGCTCAATCCCTGGCCCCGGTTGGGGCGAGTGCAGGAGGCAACCAATCGATGTGCCTCTCTCATATGATGTTTCTGTCTCTCTGCCTTCACTCTCTCTGAAAAAGCAATAAGAAAAATATCCTTGGGGGCAGATTTAAAAAAAAAAGAAAAATACAGGTTCTGGAGTCAGACTAAAACAGTGTCAATCCAGGCTCCATTTCTCATAATGAGCTGTGTAATTTGGAACAAGTTATTTAAAGTGTGGACTTCAGTTTTGACACCTGTTTGGAATAATAGCACATATCCAACAAGGTTGTTGGAAGGACTAAATGAATTTTAAATGTATAAAGTGCTTAAAACAGCCCCAGTATTGGTAAACATTCAATCATGTTAGCTATTTTTGCTATTATTACTGGAGTCACTGTTTTATGGTTCTGTCAGAGCTTTTCAATTAGATTGAGGTTTAATGTAACTTTTAAGGTGAATTAGCAGCTTCCCAGGCTTGAACACAAAAGCAGTTAATGAGTTTCCAGGCTTTTATCCAGATTTTCCTGTTAGCACATCTATTCCCGGGCCTGTGCAGCCACAAGACCTCCTCTAGGAGTTTGTTCTCGAACACCAAGCAGAGTTTTGAGCATTTCTTAGAGGTGCTCAGAAAGCGGTATTTAGCCTGTGGTATTAGGCAATTGGCATGCTCTCCAGTTTACTATCTTATAAAAGCTATAATGATTAAGAATAATGTTCTCAGCTTTCTTGAAAAATTTGCCCTATGACCGAACTTATGTTGCTCTTGAATTATTTAAAGAGGACTCCAAGCAGCAGGCTGTTTGTCTTTTCAAACTACAAGGTATGGGGGGTGGATAAAATTAATACGTGAGGCACTTAGTAGGCTGGCAACTCTTAGTGAGTTTGTTGTGACAGCGATTTTCAACCGTCGCGCCGCAAGAGTTTGTAAACATGCACTACCTGACTATCTAGTCAGGGCCACTGGCCTCTTTCCCCTCAGATTGTCAAATTTTAAAAAAGGACAGCAGCCAACAAAATAATAGCCGTCCAGTGGGAATGAATCAAAATTATACCTATTTTTTTTGTCAGATTGGCAAAAAATATATTTTGGTGTGCCACAGAATCTTAGTAATTAGTTGATGTGTGCCATGAGATGAAAAGGGTGAAAACTGCTGTGTTATGAGATCACAGCAGAGAATACTTGGAGTGAGAGGTCCAACAGAATATGATGTGGTTGCCCACCCGAAATCCATTCCCCCTACCAAAGAAAATGACATTTTATTCAAGAATCCACCCATCTTCCATACTCAGATCCAGGGTAGCCCTAAAACAGCCTGCAGATAACCTCACCCCCCCTTGCCTGTGATTAGTTCAGAAACGCCCATGTGACACATATTGAACCGGCAAGACTAGAGGAAAGAATAGCCAGAGGTGTCCTATTTATATACATGCCACGACTGCAATCATCAGAGAGTTCAAACAAATAGAGAAGAGGTGTGCCAGAACAGTAATGTTTGTGTGTAGGTAGATTTTTTTCCTATTTCTATCAACTTATACTTTATTTTACATGTTTTCTATTATGATCCTGAGTGATGTTATCAGAGAAAAAATGCACAGGCAATAAGACTGGAAGACAAGCCCTGGCTGGTTTGGCTGAGTGGTTAGAGCGTCGGCCTGTGGACTGAAGGGTTCCGGGTTCGATTCCAGCCAAGAGCATGTACCTCGGTTGTAGGCTCAATCCCAGGTCAGGGCACATGCCGGAGGCAACCAATCGATGTGTCCCTCTGACATGGATGTCCCTCTCTCTCTCTCTCTCTCTCCCTCTCTCTCCCTCTCTCTTTCCCTCCCCCTTCCACTCTCTCTGAAAAGCAATGGAAAAAATATCCTCAGGTGAGGATTAAAAAGAAAAAAAGACTGGAAGACAAAATGGTTGTTAAGGTTTTGGGATCAATTGATTTTTTTCTCTCTTATTTTTCAATATTCTTATCATATGCTTATTATATTAGTTTTGTAATTTGAAAACTTGTTTAGTTCCTTCACTGAAACTTCAGAAGAGCAGGGACTTTCTCTCCTGCTTCCTTTCTCTCTCCCCCAAGCTTGTACACAGCGAGGATCACTTACACAGAACAGAAAATATGAAAACTGAATCATTCCAGACTTTAAGGCCAGCACAGAATCCACAAAGCTCACTTGTCGGGGTCATAGCACCCCAGTACATGACCCCAGAGTGCTGCGTTAACCTGTATTCTTTTTCTTTCAGAGCGTTTCTGTTTGTATTTGTACATTTATTCTTGTGATTATTTGGTTAATGTTTGTCCTCTGCTAAGCTCCACGAGTAGGACTCTTGCTTATCAATGTACTGTTTCCCCAGCACGTGGCATATGGTAGACACTCAATAAATAAATAGCCATTGATAATGAATGAGTGAACCGAATCGGTCAGTGTAGGTATTGCTTTTGGAATAAATCTTCCCAATGACGGGGCAGACTAATTCTCAGCACTCAAAACCAGCATCTCTCCCTCTGGTGGTTGTGGTCTTAGAAACTACATTTTCAAGGGAAAACAGAAAGAACAGCAAAAGAACTAAAACAAACAGCAAACCAAGTCACCTACTAAATGAGAGTCTCTAGGGCAGAAGCCTGGAATCTGCATTTTTTAACAAATGCCCCAGATGATTCTGAATCAGGTGGTCTGAGGCCCAGACTTTGAAAACATGCCCTAGAAAGTCCTAGTAGAGTCTGAGTGTTAACTTCATTCATAGTCACCCGGCTTCCAAGAGAATCATGCCGACGTCACTGTTTCTATTTAATGGGAATCAGTTTTTATTTTGCACTTGTGCGGTGCATTAACAAATTCAACATACAAGATAGCATTACATATTGTAAGTTAGCGTTACAGCATTATGCAATTTCACACAATTCATGTTAGCTTTTTCAGATTTTTCTTTTTTTTTTTAATTTGACACGTTTATTTTATTCTTGAGTTTCATTTTTACAAGAGAAGACACAAGGTAAAGAAAGACAACCACACTGGAGAAGGATCATGGTGAGGGAAACGTCACTATCATGGCCATAATAAAGTCTTCCAAGAAAAAGGACTTGCATCGCTCCCTCTCCTGAGCAAGCTGCCCGTGTCCCACAAACCAGTTCTGTCTGTTTTCCTATCTAGAGCACTTGTTCATAAACACATACCTCTTGGCTGTGCTCCACTGAGAACCGAAAGAAAGAATAACTCATAAAGGGACTTTTATTATTAAGAAAAACTCTTGTCTTCCCAAAGGAATCAAGATATCAGCAGAGAAGGACTGACTCTTGGAAAATCAGAAGTGACCATTCCCTAACCTATTCCTGCCCATGAGTGCCTTGTGCAAAAGCTAGGATGTGACTCTCTTGTATTTCCACTGACTCTTAGGAGGAGGCATATTCCTCTTCCACCCTTATCAGTGAGCTCTGGGAGGAACAAATGTGAAAGCCAAATCCAGCTAAGAAACTTTGGGACAGCGAAGTCAAGGGCAGGATGGATCAGGCCTGAGGTAGGAGGGAGGAACCCTGTACCGCCTCTTGGCCTTTTTCTGAGAAAGACACCGAGGCAGCTCATAGGCTAAAGAACTCCTGGTTCCTCCCCTGTCACCTCACTACCCACTACTCAGTAGACCCAAAGAATGCAAGGACTAAAGCTACAAGGAGATGGGAAAGAGAAGAGTGGGGCGAGGCTGTTTTCCCAGACTTATGTCAGGAGGAGCTACAGAGGCACACACAGCAGGGCAAAGACCAGACTATCTCCACCTGTCGCTTTGCATTGTTTCCAAGAAGGAAACAAAAGTGGATTGCTCAGCAGTTTCTGATCTTTAGACATTAAGGCGATGAAGAGGAATCATTTAAATTTTTTCCTAATGGGGTTTCAGAATGCTCCTGGCAGATTTACATTAAACTATCTCAGAATGCCATTTTTAGAAAACAAAAATTATTTTCTTCTACGTATGATACAGTATTTACATTCCATGGAGTGTAGGACAGAGACGGGTGGTGTGAACCCAACTGATGGTGAGAGAGTGAGTCAGGGTGGGGGGTGGGGGTGGGAGCTGACAGGGACAAGAAGAGAAAGAGTGGGCTTTGTGCCTGCTCAGCAGTGCTCTGCCTTGTCAAGAATCCAGGTTTAAAAAAACAACTAAAGGACTGGGGAGGAGCAGACTGGTTTCAAATGCACAAGAGCTAAGGGACCATCAAAGGCAATATCGCCACTCTCCATGGAGACTCAGCTTTTTAACTCCCTTCTCAGAAGCAAGTTAGAAAGTGATGCTCCTGCATGGAGGTAGACCTTCAATTTTAGCTGATCCCTCAGGCCTTGCTTCAAGCTGCTGCTTATTAGAGTCCCTCTTCAGGCTGGCAAAAATACCTACTGCCTATCCAAGCATACTTATTGTCAGAGAAGCCTCTGCCACCTGAGAAGTCTCAACATTAGAAACGTGGCTGGACTAGGAGTAAGGAGACTTGAATTCTAATCCCAGCAGGATGCTGAATGTCTTTCAACCTGTTGCCCTCTGGCACAAGGAGGACTGAATTCTGTGGTTCCCCTCACCCCTCCACCTTGTGAGACTCATAAGTTCCAAGAATCAAGCACTTTGTTTTGAGGGAAAAGATACCCCAAGGAATCCAAGTTACCTTTATGACTCAGTCACACTGTTATTTTTAAGAGTCATCACTGAAAAATTTAAGGAGGCCCTTTGCCTTATGAAATAAAACTAACCACATCTAAGCTACTTGAGAAGACTCTACAGCTTCTCAAGGGCCAGCATTTCTGGAAAAACAAAGGCCAGTTTAATCCTTCAAACCTCTGATGATTTCTAACCCTTCAAGCAAGAAATGGCTGTCGCTTCCATATAGAGCTGCAAAGGGGGGTCACAGTCATCTCTCTCTCCTCTCCCTGTCCTCATGCCTAAGAACAGTGTTTGGGATCAGCAGGACGTGTTCACTGGTACCATCCTACAGCTGAATTTGAAGTCTCCAAAGCTGTTTTTAGAAACGCCACCTTGTTTTGTAAAGCCAATTCTGCCTCATGAGTCGGATGTGTCCATGTGCTTCATCACAATCTAACCGTAGGCCGCCGCCTGCCCCTTCAGAGCAGGCGCACTGACAGCAAGAACACTCCACTTCTCAAGGAGTCTTCCTCCTGCAAACCTAGCTTAATCCACTCCACCTTTGTTTCTTGGCTTACTGCAGACCTCTGGACCTTGAGCTCAGTAAAAGAGCAGAGATGTAAGAGGTAATAGGAAGAATAGAGGGGAATAATGGAAATAGATTTTGCAAGAGCAAAATATTCTTTGCAGAGGTGGGGAGAGTAACTGTCCAGAGAAGCCCAATAAAAAGAGGCCAATTTCAGGTAGTCAGCAAATACAGTTCGGCACAAAACACAATTTTCATGAATTAAAATCTGTAACTTGATATTGGCAGCTAGGCTAATTTCTTCAGTTTGTATTAGACATGCAAGTATAAGGTTACATTGTTATATATAAACTTGTAGAGGTCTTTCCCTCTCTCTTTTTCCCCATTTAAAAAAAAAAAAAAGAGAGAGAATTTCTAAGTGCCTTGCAAAGGAGGAAAATCATCATCCCTAAGAACTGATCTGCAGCTGTGGTCATGTGGGGTGTTCTTTGTGGGGTTGATTTTGTAAGAAATTTTCTTCTACAACTAAAATGAGGTTTTTGAGTCCGCTTCTCTCTGTCACCTCTCTCCCCACCACGTCCCTGCCCAGCCCAGCCCTGGGGTGAGAGGTGAGCAGCGTGGGATTAGTACTCGCTCAGACTGTGCCACTTGGCCACAGGCTTGCGGGGGCTCTCGCACACCTCTCGCCAGTGTTCGGCACCACTGGCTGTGACACTGTGCGCCCCCAGGATCAGCCTCCCCACCACCTCGTTCTTGGTGGTGCGATCAAAGTCGATGACGAGGAACTCGATGCTGATATCGGGCAGGAGGTCAGTGGGGATGTCGTAGATGAAAGACTCGTTGAAGACTGGGTTCAAAGTGCACTTCTTCACGTGGGTTTTCTTCTTGGCGATGCGCTTTCTGCCGTAGTAGACGTTCACCTTGACGTAAGGATCTGGGGCCCCCAGAGAGACAAGAAAAAGGGAGACAGGCCTATGACACAGTTCTCTCCTACATAATGGCGGTTTCATGCTGGGAGAGAGGGGGTTCTGTGGGCCCTCCTTTGGGGCCACCCCTACGTGGTCTTTAGTGATGACACGATGAATGCATCCTGACTGTACTTGAGCCTGCCTGCCTGCACCAGGGGCAAGGAAACCAAGCAGGAGAGAACAGGACAACTCCTCTCCGAAGAAACCCGATGACACCAAGAAGCGTTATGGGGCACAGAGACTAACAACGCCTGCAGTCTTTGTGAGAGTCTCACCTCGAGCAAGCACTCAGCACCTGGCACCCCTCCATTAGGAGACCTCACCAAAGGTAAAGACCCCATTTGCTTACCCAAAGCACCTCCCCGGCTAGGAAAACCTACAACCTAGATATTCACCAGGGAGAGAAGGTGGACACAGAGAGGAACGGATGCAAAGTGACAGGTGTGAGGGTCCTGACATGTGTGTGTGTGGGGGGGGTCTGGGTCACAGGCAAGAAGAGGGGGGTGTCATTCAGACATTTAGAAATAGGTTGAGCCTGGCTGGCGTGGCTCAGCGGTTGAGCATCGACTTAGGATCCAGGAGATCGGGGTTCGATTCCCAGATCAGGGCACATGCCCGGGTTCAGGGCTCAATTCCCCAGCAGAGGGTGTGCAGGAGGCAGCCGATCAATGACTCTCATCGTTGATGTTTCTATCTCCCTCCCTCTCCCTTCCTCTCTCTGAAATCAATAAAAACATATTTTAAAAAACAGACATAGGTTGAAGTAAATAGCTGCTACCTGAGAGACCGGTGATATCCATCTTCGGCAAGTGTCTGGCTTTGAGGACCACCACTGTCATTCTCTGTGCCACAGGCTGATATGACAGAGATACCTGGAGCTCCCCTCTGCTAATGCACTTCTGTGAAGAAAAAACAGCTGATGAGAATCCCGGCAGGGGGGCAGGGCGTGGCACAGAAAGAGTGCAGAGGAGAGGGGAGAGGGGCGGGGAGGAAGCTCAGGAGGAGAGGGCTACCTGGAGGTGCCCATCCCCTGAAAAGATCTTACTGTCACATTGAACAGGGCAGGGGGAAAGGAACTCTTCTAATTATAATCCTGATACTAAGTAAAATCACTTGCATGCAGAGGCAGCACAGCCTAGTACTGAACTTAAGAGCCCAGACTCTGAAGCCAGCCTGGCCTGGATTCAAATCCTGACCGCTGCTTCTCATTGGGATGACCTGGGACCACCTACTTGGCATCTCTGCAGTACTCCAGTTTCCTCATCTATAAAATGGAGATAGAAACAGCACCTAATTCAGAGGATTATTAAAAGGATTAGATTATTAAATTTTGTAAAACGCCACAGTGCCTGGAATATATTGTGCGCTATGGAAGTGTATCCTCTCATTTGGTTCTTGTGATAAAAATGTACAGTGGGAGGTAGGAAATTTGGGTTCGAGCCTTCACTTTGCCACTTAATCACCACCTGGCCTTGGGCAAGCCCCTGACCTTTCTGGAGCCTGTTCCTCCATATCGCAGGGTGAATATCCACGGCTGCTCCGCCTGCCTCAGTTGTGCACTTTTGAGTGTCTTCTCCAGCCAAGTTGGCTTTCTCCCCTATGCCCACATCTTTATTTCCTCATCTTTTAAGTCTATTCTAGGCTCTGTTCTGAGCTTGGGCAAAAACCCTCTAGCCTCTAAGAGCATTTTACACACATTTGGATACTCACTACATGCCAACTGCTGGGGATACACAGCTGACAGGACTCAGTGGCTCCCAAGGAGCTTACCATGTAGTAGAAGAGACAGAGCTAGAAGTAAAGATGTACTTGTCAGAGAAGTAAGAAGCCTGTCCAAGTGCTGCTGCGAGATTCGGGAAGGCTTTGCCAGCTGACGTTGGGCTGAGTTTCTGAAGGGGGGGTAAGAGGCCGTGAGACAATGGGCAGACGGCAGCTCACGTCAGGCAGAGTGGCAGGAGCGCCGTACAAAGGCATTGGGCCCTGAAAGGGGACATCTGTGTTCAGAGAATGGCGAGAGGCGCGCGTGCCTGCTGTTGGGGTGCCTGGCAGGAGGGATGAGTCAGGAACCTGGAGAGGTGGGTGAGGTGAGGGTAAGGAGCAGTGGGCACGCTAACCCAACAGCAGAGTCACCACTAGGCAGATGAGGGCTGTAAGTATAGGAGCGACAATGTTATTATGGTTGCTGTTAATATTTTATTAATAATATTATTATTCTGGTGAAAGCTGGACAATGAACTAAAGTGGAGAAAGACCAAAGTCAGAAAGCTCAGTTAAGGGGCTGCTGCAATAGGCTCAGGAGGAAATGAGGAGGCCTGGAAGCAGGGCTCTAGCAGAGGGCATGGACGTGGGGGTAAGAGATGCCTCGGGAAGAACTGTCAGGATTTTCCAGGTGTAGGTAGCTAACTGGATGTAAATGTAGGGGAGAGGGAAGAGATGGAGAAATATTTCCTTTTGCTTGTTGTTTTTTTCTTGTTGGAGGACTATTTCTTAAGTTTCTAGCTTAGAAAGTGGGGCTGAGGCTGAGATGAAAACAAAAGAAGGTAGAAGTTGAGGAATTTAAGACACTGGGCCCTGGTCAGGTAGTTCAGTTGGTTAGGGCGTCATCCCAATATGCCAAAGTTGCAAGCTCTATCTCCGGTAAGAACACATACAAGAAGCAACCAATGAATGCATAAATAAGTGAAACAACAAAATGGATGTTCCTCTCTCCAAAAATCAATCAAAAAACAACAACAACCCACTAAGTTCAAGATTATGGTTTAGGTTTCCTGATTATTTGTTTAAAACTGTTTCCTAAATCATTCATTATAGAAAATCTTCCTAATCTAAACCCCCAGGTCCCTTCCCTAGTTCTTTGAGAAAGTGGACAACTGCTGGTTACCCTTTTAATACTTTTCTCCCCTAAAATGACTCCTCAGGCAACCGTTTTCCTTCTGGCCCCCTTCATCTTTGGCATTTTACATGGGCCGAATGCCTGTCCCCATTCAGCTGTCCCTTTGTGTACCCAAGTCTGCTGCCACACCACCACCTGAATGCCATTCCCTTCTGCATTGAAGAATAGAGTTTCATGTCCCCTCACTCCCCTCCCCTTCTTTTGCCACCCAATCCCATTCCAAGTAGCACTGCCAAGGGCTCTTTCTCAAAGGCTCTTTGTCAAGGGCTGGGAGCGAGCTGTTTCCCAGTCCCTTGGCTTAATGAGGCAAAGACCCTGTTGTGGGGCAGACAAGCAGAAGGGCAAGGGGGAGGAAGGGTTTTATCCATGCCTGACCGAGCTGGGAGGCTTTGCCCGCCCTCAGTGGGAAAAGAGGAACAGGAGCATTGGTCCTAAAGAGGGCATCCAGACAAGGGACCACTCAGCCAAGGGAGAAGTCTATTTTCTCTAATTAGCAGCGCCCCTTCCAGAGTGATTTTCTAGCTGCAGAGTCATTGCTTTAGGTGGACCCACACATCCTCAATAAACCTTTATTGGGGTTGGAAGTGCCACCTCCACATAAATCACAGTCATGGGAAAACAAAAGAAACAAAAACCTTAATGTTCAACCACATCGCGGCCCCTTTTAACCTCCTCAAAACACACACAGCAACCTTCTTTATTGTTCCTGGAAAACTGGCATTCCTTTTTCTTTCTCTCTTTTCAGTCCCTTTGGCTAGAATGGGTGACCTCTAAGGTCCCTTGTGAATTTGAGATTTTAAGAATCCTTTTGTTAAGTGACCACTGTCCCAGGACATCAATACCAGATGAGACAATGGAAAGACAGGAAACGGTTTAGAAAACAATGACCTGAAGAAATTAGGAGCCTAAGAACTCTCTATTATCTACTTTGTAAATCTCTTCTTTCCCACGTCTCTTTTTTATTCCCCAGCCGGCTCTGTACTGCCTCCCTTCTCTTGGTGGGGAAGTTCTTATGGGAATGTAAATCCACTTTAATTTCTGTCTGGATAAAGTACTAGGAAGAAAAGCTGCCTGCCACTAAAAAAAAAAAAAAAAAAAAATCAAGT